AGTGTTCAAGCAAACACTATTACTCTTTTTAAGTTGCAGCCAACTTTGCATTACATGATGATTCCAGCAGGGATATTATGATGTGCCTGCTGGAAGTGCTCCGTACTTCAGTCACACTGCTACAGCTTGATCCTGCTGCTGTTAATTGTGCTTTCTAGTAAAATTAGACATTTATGTAAATGTGAAGTAACACAGATGGACGGTTTATGTTTGGTGTATGTTACCTGCAGCAGGTGGCCCCAAAAGCATGGGGAAGCACTCTATGATGGTCACCAGTCCAACAGCACTGGGGAAGCGTTGATTTCCCATCAGGTCCATGAGGCATTCAAATATTAGGGCAAAAACCATTCCAAAAGCCACACCAAAGAGTACAGCATAGGTCACCATCAAAGGATAGCTTGTCATCAGAGGACACAGTAAATGGCATGTACCGTTGAAAATCATGGCGAAGCTGAAGAGATACTGAACTCTTGGCCTGATCCATTTGCTGTTGGCTAACAAACCAGTGCCAGGACGAATAAACATGTCCACAAAGCCCATGATAGAAAGCAGATAAGCAGCAGCGTACTCCTCCACGCCTTGGCTGATTGCATAAGCTGACAGGAACACAATGGGTGCATAGGCGCCGAAGATGTACAGCACATTCCCTATGAGGTAAATGACAAAGCCCCTATCTTTGAAGAAGGTCAAATCCACAAACTTCGTAGATTTTATCGCACATCTTCCTTTTTTCTTTGTGTTGTGTTTACCCAGTTGATCTCCATTCTTTGTTGGCGCACCAGAGGATGGTTTACAAGTCAGTGGTCTCATCAAGGCACCAGCAACGCAACAATTGAGCATCATACCCCCAAGGATTAGCAAACTTCCTCTCCAGCCAAATTGGCCCAAAAGAAATTGGTTGACAGGGGCCAGAACACCGAGGAACACCGGACTCCCAGCCATCGCAAGTCCATTGGCTAATGGTCGCTTGCTGAGGAAATATTTACTGATGATGGTGAGAGATGCATTCAGGTTCAAGCAGAGTCCACAACCTGTATGCAAAAAGATTGGGGGGGGGAGAAAAAAAAGTCACGTTTTATAATCCCTCAAAAGAAAAACTCTAAAGAACCTAAACTCCAGAGGGGACTAAGTAAATTAAATTACAACTGATTCTGCTGAGCGCTCATTTAGGTTTCATCTCACTTTGCTTTGGCCGACTAAAATCTCATTACAGAATGCAGAAATTATTTCAAATATAATTTCTCCATTTAAGTAGAAATAAATTAGGGAGCCTGGGTAATATGCTCACCTTCTTGCTTCTGTACGCTCAACATATTAATTTAATAGCAACCTAATTTAAAGAAGATGAAGAGCTACAGCTAGGTGGTTATGGTTCTATATTTTCTCCTTCCAATATCAATTTACCGCTCTTGTCTTGATCTATAGGGAAGCTCATAAAAATGTGTTTTTCTCTTCTTTTCTCCATCAAAAACAAGTCCAAGCAAGAGCTTTTTTTTAAAAGTAAAACAAGGATCTGATGGAAACTTGCTTATTCTCATTTTTCCTGCTGACTTTTCACGCTCAACCATTCTTTTTGTTGTTATTGTTGACTATGTGACTTCTCACCATCGTGTTTTTGCCAAGCAATGATCTGAACCAAAAAGAAGAACTCAGCACAGCAGCCACACCATCACTCACTTTTCCACCAGTGCATACTGGCTATCATTTTCAATAAAAATCAGAGAAAGGAAAAGAAAGTTTGAGTAAGAGAGGGAAATGCTTTTATATTACATGGTCACCTTTTTGCACAAGCAGGTATTACTGTGACCTTTGTGTCAGCATGCCTCCTAGGTAAAACTGCCTGATCCCTGCACGTCATTACGCCAGGGCACATGGGAGCATGGCAGGACCAACGCATGCCTTTGGCCACCACACACAGCTTGAACACTTGCCGGGACGATTAATCCTTCATAGAAGCTTTTGGCAGGGTAATTTGCCTCATAGGGGTGGTAGAGAGCCCCCATGTGATGAGGGCCATAAAAGACTATCCTCTTTGGGATCAGAGACAGTTCTGTCTTAATTACTGTCCTGGTGCTGATCCTCTTGCTGTTCTAACTACACCCTGGGAGTGGTGGCGGGTGTTCAGGGCCCAGGACGAACAGCATGGAGGCTGATTCCGTGGACACAGATCTGAACCCAAAGAGGATGTAAAACGATACAAACTGACAACCTCATCACAACTTATTCATGGAAAGAATAACAAGTGAAATGAAAAAAATTGTCTTGTTGGGTGAGACTAACTACCAAACTCCCAAAGGCAATTTGTTGTAAATGTTTTTAAACACTAATGATTCTAAATGAAAACTACAATAAAAACAAAAGCAAATGAAGAAAGATTTATTTCAAACTGTGCTGTACCTCCAATGATGCCAATGCTTAAATAGAGATAGACGATGGAGCTCCCAAAAGATGCTGTTACCATAGCAACCCCACACATCAGGCCTCCTATCATGACTACTGGTCGACTTCCAAAGCGACTGACCAACACACTGCTCACTGGTCCTGGAAAAACAATGAATAAAGTCATTAATTAACAAATGAGTTTTTAAAAAATGACATAATACATAAAAGTATAAACAGTGAAAATAGGGATGCATGATATTGGATTTTTGGCTGATATCCGATATGTTAAAAGTATCTGGCCGATAACCGATACCAATAACGATTTATTTATTTTCTTTCCAAGCCTTACTTACAGAGACTACATAGCGTTCTCTGCTGTGGAATTAAAATACTACATTATTCTGCATGGTCTTTGTCAGTTGGGCCTGCTACCAAATGCAGATGCCAAAAAGGGGGCTGAAAATGATGCAACACTTCAACTTGGATCACCGGTATGTTTAATGACAAATTTCTTCATGACATTTACTCTCCCTAACACAATGACAACACTCAAACAGTGCAAATTTGTAACTTTAACATTTAACTTTAAAAACAGTGTCTTTCATACATATATTGTATACACATATATAAAAACAGCACCTTTTATATCGGTGTGATATTTTGATGGAATGGCCAATGTCCAATATGTAACTTCATTGCTAATATCAGCCGATACTGATATCATGCCGATAATATTGTGCATCCCTAAAAATTACAAACAACTTTATTTATTACCAAATATAATACAAAGGCAACATGTCAAATGTAATTTTAAAGGAACCCTCTCATAAAGATGAGACTGAATGAACACTGTACAGCTAGTGAGTTAAAAGAAATTTAAAACAATTAAATATCTGACAAGTAATCAGATTATTTGGTAATATAAGTAGAACAAACACTAAGTCTTTCAGAGGTTGACTTGGTGCATGTCTTAACCCTCTTTAAAAGAACGAGCAGTTAAAGAAGTTAAATAATTATAAATGTTCATTACTTTTCCACTTTAAAAATGTTATGAGCAATTAATAGATTGTTGATCAATTTGATTGCAGAATTATAAATGTTGTTATATCAATCTCGACCGATTAAAATTAATTTACAGCACAAAGAGGAGTTTCTGAAGCAGAGGCAAGACATGATTAGAAAAGTGTTTTTTGTAATATTGCCTCAAGATGTATCCGTATGCTCTTTGTGGACTTCACATCCGCCTTCAACACCATGATCCCCCAAACCCTGATGGACAAACTATCCACACTAGGACTAAGCCCCTCCATCTGCAACTGGGTACTAGACTTTTTAACAAACAGACCACAGTTAGTGAGGATCCACAACTTCTCCTCCTCCACCATAACCCTCAGCACTGGCTCTCCTCAGGGATGTGTTGAGCCCCCTCCTGTTTACTCTGCTCACATATGATTGTGCAGCTACCCATCCAAGCTGTCACATTGTAAAGTTTGCAGATGATACAGCGGTGGTGGGATGCATCACAAACAATGATGAGTCCAGCTACAGGCAGGAGGTGGAACACCTGGAGAGCTGGTGCAGAGAGAATAACCTTCACATCAATGTGAAGAAGACAAAGGAGATGATTGTGGACTTCAGAAGGAACAAAAACACCTACACCCCCCTGAACATAAGAGGATCTGCGGTGGAAGTGGTCTCCAGCTACAAGTACTTGGGTGTACACATGAATGACAACCTCAGCTGGAGCAACAACACCACCAGCCTGATCAAGAAAGCTCATCAGAGACTCTACTTCCTCAGACGGCTGAGGCGAGCTGGTCTGGGAAGCTCAGTCCTCACCTCCTTCTACAGGTGTGCAGTGGAGAGCATCCTGTGCTCGAGCATCAATGTGTGGCATGGAGGCTGCACAGCTGCAGAAAGAAAAGCTTTGCAGAGAGTGGTGAAGGCTGCACAGAAATCTGTTGGAATCAGTCTCCCCACCATCACAGACATCTACACCTCCAGATGCAGGAAGAGGGCCACCTGCATCATGAAGGACCCCACCCACCCAGCACACACACTTTTTGCCCCACTCCCCTCAGGAAGGAGGTTAAGGAGCATTAAGTGTAGAACCACTAGACTGAGGAACAGCTTCTACCCTGAGGCTGTTAGACTCATGAATCTCTAACTAGAATAATCACTGTGAAAAACCATATCATGTTGCTGCTGATCTGTTTTATGTTGCTGCTGATCTGTTTCAATGTTGATGTGTTCATGCGTGCACATCTGCTCACAGACTCATGTTCATGTTTGTGGTGATGTTCAATGTTTTATGTTATGAGTGCTTAGTGTATATTTAGTTGATGTTTTTCTTAGTTCATATCTTAGATGTTACTGTTTTTCTTATACATTTTATTGTTGGATGTAACTGGGACCCTGTGTACATAATTTCGCTCCACCACATGTACCACATGAGGTGCGAATGACAATAAAGAAACTCTGACTCTGACTCTGACTCTGACTCTGACTCTGAGATAGCCAGTTGGGTTAATGTTATTATACATTTATTTAAACTTTAAAAATCAACTTTTCTAGTGTAACTAAAAAAGTTATTAATAGGTAAGTTATCAGAAATCAATACAGTCAGGCTTAAAATGGTAAAACGTGCATTTCTTATGAACTCATTACAGATATATATCATGTGTAAGTGTCATGAAGAGCAATAATTAATGGTGTAACTGGGTGTAATGCAAGAAGCTCTCAGTTTCACACCATCTTGTTATAAAAAGTATCACTTTTTTTAGATTCTAATTCATTATCTGGTGAAACAGAAGTTGTTTTCTCCTAATAGCAAGATACAACTATCTTACACATTACAAGATAACAAGACAGTTGGAGAAAAAGACATTAAATGATCAAAAGCTGCAGCTGTTCTCAGCTGTACTAAAAACGTGTAAAAGTGACTGTGTAACATTGATGGAAACCTTTTTTTATTGAACAGTTTCTCACTGTATCCCCAAGGGCAAGTTTAAAATATAACAGTGAAAAAATATACCCTTCAAAAAAAGATTCAAAAATGTTTCTTTGTTCTTTGAACCCCGGCTCATTTGAGACTGACTGAAGGAAAGTGATAGCACGTCTTATAGTCTTAGAAATAATGAAATTTTGTGAGGAATTCTTGCACCCCATCTTCTGCAGGCCAAAGAGCAGATGATTTGGGTTGGTTCAAAAGCCAGCACTCATGATGTAATGGAGTGCAGGCGTGCACGTACTGCAGTCAAGCTAAAGTGTACGACTGTGAAAAGAAATCACTGATGCTGCATGATTTCAAAAAGCTTTGGAGCAACATCTGCGGCCATCAAGAAAGGTTTTCTTCAGGAAAAGTTTTATTTATTCCAGGAGGACATTATGAAACAACATTCACACAGAATAAAACATAAAACTGATGAAAAAACCTAAATGTATTGCTCGCCACCATGTGTGCGAGTGTTTAGCTGTTAGAAAACTATCTTATGAAGCACTGAAGGGATTTAAATTTTCAGAAAGTTTCATTTAATGTCCATCTGATAAACTGATAGAAGGAAGAAGGCGAAGCTCTCAATTTACCGATCGATCTACGTTCCTACCCTCGTCTATGGTCATGAGCTTTGGGTTGTGACCGAAAGAACGAGATCACGGATACAGGCGGCCGAAATGAGTTTTCTCCGCAGGGTGTCTGGACTCTCTCTTAGAGATGTGGTGAGAAGCTCAGTCATCCGGGAGGGACTCGGAGTAGAGCCGCTGCTTCTCCACGTCGAGAGGAGCCAGTTGAGGTGGCTCGGGCATCTGGTTAGGATGCCTCATGGACGCCTCCCTGGTGAGGTGTTCTGGGCACGTCCCACCGGGAGGAGACCCAGAGGAAGACCCAGGACACGCTGGAGGGACTATGTTTCTTGGCTAGCCTGGGACCGCCTTGGGATTCCCCTGGAGGAGCTGGACCAAGTGGCTGGGGAGAGGGAAGTCTGGGCCTCCCTACTTAAGCTGCTACCCCTGCGACCCGACCCCGGATAAGCGGAAGAGAATGGATGGATGGATGGATGGATG